GCGTTGTATGATTTAACTGGCCGTCTCTCTGTTCAAAAAGTCTGCAAATATTTAAGAACCACTCGAGGATACTACGATACGATATCGCGGACTGCAGCTCGCAGAAGTCTTGTCACGACAGCTGAGTAGGACACAGCACTTGAAATTCTCTTCTATCTGTTATTAACAAATGTGAGGCAGCGTGGTGGAATCAGGCTCTCGTCAATTTTTGGGCATGTAGAGGTATTGGTATCACCTTAAAGCTTGTTCACTTGTCTTTATTTGGATGAAAAAAATATCCATTTATCTTGAATACAGGTCGACATATTTGCGAAAGAAGGAGGTAGAGTAACCTGTTTTCAGAGGTAAAATTAGTGAGAAAATGGCCGCCAAAGATTAGTTATTTCCTTAGCTTAAGAGTCCGTGGGAACTGAAAATTTACATTTTTTGTCCCCTTAATCAACATTTTTCAGAAAAATCCACACAGAAATGAATTATTTAATGGGCAGAAAACAAAAATTTGATAAAAATTCACAAACCTGCGGAAAAATGCAAGTTTCTTCACTTTGATTATTTTGACGAGAGCCTGATTCCACCACGCTGCCTCACAAATTATACTCCGTTCTCGATGGTACCTCAGGGCAAATTCGATGTTTGTTCTTTTTTCTGATTTTTCTCTTTTTTGTTGTTGTTGCTCGTAGGTCCCTTCGAATGTTAGTCTGTGTTTTGTGTGTATGAGGATGGTTGGAGGATGTCACTCGTAAGTCCTCTATACTACTTCTTTTCTGTCTTCATCTCCTCTTCCCCTCCTCCTTCTCCTTGTATTTTTGTCTTTCTCATTTCTTGCAGTGTAAATCTATCTATCTATCTATCTATCTATCTATCTATCTATCTATCTATCTATCTATCTATCTATCTATCTATCTATCTATCTATCTATCTACCTGTCCGTCCATCGGTCCATCGGTCAATCGGTCCGTCGTTCCATTTGTCATTTTGTCCACTTGTCTATCTGTCTGTCTATCTGCCTGTCTGTCTGTCTGTCTGTCTGTCTCTTTGTTTTTCACATTTTGTTCTTATCCTCAGTCTGCAACAGTTCTTTTTTAAAAGGCTTTCAGATGACTTAGTATCTATATAGTTATGTTTAATAAATGTATGTAACGTCTCCTTTCTTTTAGACTCAAATTCTGTTTTTTTCTTCTCCAC